TCCAAAGAGCGGACTGAGCTAGGATGAGCTGAAAAAAATTTTGACGAGCTCAAGCTCCAGCCATTTTCCATTCCAAGGTGGGAGGATGAGAAACATGATTTTCCTCCATTTGGGATGGAAGGATTTTGCAGCCAAACCTCCCACACTCAATGACTAAATATCTCAGCAACCTTCAGGAGATGGAGAAATCACAACCTTCACTTGAAAGGCGGTCAAACTCAAATAGGTGTCAAAACGGAATACTGATTGAACTCTAGCAGTGTTGAAATCAAGGAGCAATTGAACTCGTAGCAGTCAAACTCTGATCAAACTCAAGCAAGCAATTGAGCTTGATTTCCTGTCACACTTGATTCCCTGTTGCACTCGCGTGGCACTCAATCCCAATCAGCTGTCAAACGCAACTAGCTGGTGATCTCAAGTAGTGGTCCACCTCAAGCACCTACCAACCTCTGATAGCAATTGCAACTCAAAGACCTATTGATCTCGGATAGCGACTGACCTTGCAGCGCTATTGAACTCAAGAACTCAAAATCCTAATGATCTCAAGTAGTGATTGAACACACACCTTAAGGTATGTCTTCCTCCTCCAGCCTGTTTAACCTCACTAATTAATATTGTTCCAATCTTGAATACAGTCAAAATCACCTAGCAATCAATCTCAAAAAAAAAATTGAACAAATGCCTCAAGGTGAGCGCAAGACTTGAGTTTATGTCCTCCTCTTTCAACAAAAATTACTAAACACAACTTTTGTGTGGTGTCTTCTTTTCTCCAATGCATGAAATAGATATCACAGTAAAAATAGTTCCAATTGCAAAAGACCACCTGGCTCAGCTCGTCACACATTACAGGGATCAAGTTCAAACCAAGCATTTCATCAAAAACAATAAACACAATGGCTACAGAGCACTTGCACATTTCAAATACTGAGGTCAAGAGAAGTATGGGCTTGTTGCAAAGGAAATAAAAAAACATTAGAAATAACCCATCTTAATTCAAAAGCTATTTGTTGGATTATGAATATGCTTATATTCATTATACAATATGCTTCAACCAAAACTCAAAGCAATCATGTATATAGTCTATACCTGATGGCTACTGTAGTTTTCCTTAGTGAATCAAAACCCATTTTTCTCTCACTCACAAAGTGTCACTGGCCTGTCAGCCGTGAACTTTGGTTTTCACCTTGAGTTCCCCTCAACACTATTGAATTGGAATTTTTAGTATGATATCAGACAGATATTTTTGTTGGTATAGAGCTTTTGGCAAGGAAGGAAATACTGGTGACATCTTTTCTAGCGCTACAAAATCACAACCATAGAGCAGTAGTTTGACAGTCATTTCCAAAAACCCCTATTGGATCTCCTATTGCAAACGATGACACTCAGCTCAATTTAGCTGTTGAGGGTAGTTGTTTTGGATCTTGTGGGTAGGCAGAAGCCAAACTATTGGATTGCTGATTGCAAACCTGTTTGCTTTGACGACTGATGACAATATGTAGCCTTCAAAAACCAATTAGAATGGAAGCCAATCAATTGGATTGGCAATTGCAAATCTGTTTGCTTCAACAAACAGACAGTCAGTCAGATTGCTTCTAAACCAAGAGAAAGAAAATTCAGCCTACCATTTGACCTGAGACCATCACTATCTGATCAAGGGATCAGGCTCGATCATGAGCTGCATGCAAGTTGGTGCATGCGCACTGCTCAGCAACATTAATTAATTTTCTTTTTTTTTTGGTGAAAAGGGCAAGCTTTCCTGGAACCGCTGTAATGAAATATTCAATGCTCATCATGACACACGGATCACAACCCGGAATTCCAAGCCTCCCACTGGAATGCTCCCTCATGGGTGCTTGCTCTTTACAAAAGGAACAGTGGCGCACAACCTGGCAGGCCCATGATTGATGCATTTCTCCTAAGTTACACCCCCACAAGGGAGTTCTTTGTTATATCAACGATGTAACTGATGTGATGCATGCATAAGTATCACATTGTATCAGGCCTGTATCACATTGCATTGAGAGAGCAATGTGGGGCCCCGCATCATATCACTTGCATCAGATTCTTCGATACAGTACATCAGTATCGCATCAGCAAAGTGATGTGATGCAATGCACTCTAATTTGGTGCCATTGGTTTGCATTGCTTTCTGATACAATGTCAATACAATGCATTGCCTTTTTGATGCAATGTCAATGCAATGCATCTCTTTTTCGATGTGATACCTATTTCATCACATCACATCGTTTCATTGTTGGTTATATATTCTCTCCTTAAAGCCCTAGATTCTGAGCCTTTTTCAACAGCAGCTCCCTTCCATTCACATTGTTTTGTTTTTCCTGCCTACAGGACAGTCCATCTTTATTCAACCCTTCCACTTGTTACCCCTGCATACATTTTTGCATTTATCATCAATTGAGCTCTTTTTTTTTCCCTCTTACTTACCTGTTGTTCCCCGCATTCCCTCTTGCCAGATTGCCGGTGCTGGCAGCTATCCAGTATCTTAAACCTTGACACACTTCCCTTTAATTCAGAACACACAAACCACAATCTCAAACCAATAATTCTCTTATCAATCCGCTTACAGTGGGGGACACCATATTACTGTAACAAATTTTACAGTGTCCAAAATGTTGAGGAAGAAAACCCCAAAAACTCACCCCTCTGGATGGCAAAAAAGTGTGATTTTCTAGGCCAATCTGCCCAGAAAATCCACCTACAGTATGAATTCCAGTTTAATCTCAGGTCTCAGACCCACCCAACTTGCCCAAAAGTCTTCATGAGGGGATTATCACAGAGACTGACATTGGCATAGGCATATATGAGGTGGTTACACACATAAATATATCCACTTGAACCAACGGTGGGCCGCTACACTAACCGTAGCGGTTAGTGTAGCGTAACGTAGCGGAATTCCCGTTAGCGTTAAGCGTAGCGTAGGGGAATTCCGCCACGACACCGCTAACGCTACGCGTGTGGGCCGCAAAAAAGGGCCCACTACGCTGCGCTACAGCGGTTTTTAGCCGTTTTTACCCGCTTTTTCCGCTAAAAGCGCTGTAGTGCAGCGTAGCGTAGCGAAAATGCGCTACAAAAGCGCTAACACTACAAATTTTTGGCGCAAAAAAAGCGCCGCTACGCTACGCTTTTTGGGCCAAAAGCGTAGCGTAGCGTAGCGGCCCACCGCTGCTTGAACTCCATGCACATTTGCTTCAGGCTATCTACAAGTCCATTTTTAGGTACCAACTGGATCCTTATGGACTTGAAAGCCATTTTTAATGACATGTGTCCGAAATTATGGATTTCAAAAAGTGAAAAAGGAGAACCATTGGTCTGATTGCAAAACCAAATAAGAAATAGAAATTACACACTCCAAAAAGCCCAAAAATGACACTTTTGGGGTTGAACACCACATATGGCAGACAAACATTCAGCCGACATGGTAAACTCAACTTTTGCTGGTGGGATGTTACAGTAATATGGTGTCCCCCACTGTAGTCTATCTCCTTATTGTTGCTATTGCTTTCTTTTAATCTAGTTTATCTAACATCACAAGTGCATCCAACTTTTGCTTCTTCTTAATTCCCTCCAACATCCCTTTCCTTCCTTTATCTAATAACCCAAGCGCATCTTTCATTTGCTTCTTCTTAATTAACTCTGACACCCCATTCTTGCCTACCAATCATCTACACCACCAATACCTCCTTCCCGTTCACCCCAGTCTCACACATCACCACCATAATCTATTAACCCCCCTCTCCGCAATCAGTCTCTAAATACTCCTGCTTTGCTTTCCTGTTCTCACCACATTTAATTGTTTAATTCACCCAATCTTTCATCCTTTTTCAACAATGAATCAACCTGCCAGCCAATTAGATGGACCCAGCTACCCCTTAATCAAAGACATATATGACATAGTCCCTCTTTCATTCACCAAGATTGTCCCAGTCAGGCCACACCAGAAAGTTGATCCCAACAGTCTTCAAATGATCCGCTGTGTGCATGGGACCACACCATCTTTCCCCGAGCATATTCACCAATTCTCCATCCCTGGGTGCACTGAATTGGATGCTGAGGCTTTTTTCACTGCAATGCAGGCCACTGTCTACTGGAGCTCCCAACAATCTCAAAAGAAAAAGGACCCTGTGCCCACTCCATCATCATGCAAGATCGGTATTCCCTGTTGAACATTCTTTCCAATTTGATTACAAGTGCCCTTGAAGTGGCAGTCACGAGGCAGTCCCAAACTCATGCAAGAAGAATACCCTCTCACAGAAGGGGGACTGCAAGAGCCATTTCAGTATTTTCCCACCACATCCACACCAACACTCTCCGTGTAGAATGGGAATGGAAACACAACCATGATTCTTTATCAGCTGAGGAAATCCAGAAGAATTGGAGCCCTCAGATGGTCAAGAAGTGGCTTACTGAAAGGGTGATCTCTGGCCTCAACTGGAAATACATACACCAACTCATGCACAGCTTGGAAATAATATAAGTAGTTCATGCTGTTGAAATTTCACTGTAATGTCACTCCCAAATCACGCTCGCTACAGCTCCTGATCCGCAGCAAGATGATGAGAATTGAAGTTACAACCACTTAGGGTTGAACTTCCTTTGAGTTAAAAAGACATCTCTGCTAGTTCCAATAATCCTCAGACTCGACAAGATATTCGACCTCTCAGCTTGCTCAAATTCAACAACCACACGCCTCAAGATCCTTTCGATCCTTTCGGCATTCATACGCTCACATCTTTCAAGACCACACTGTGTAAAGTACACCCACCTTATCGTGCTCCACCTCACTCGTGCTCACTCAGTCTCTTCTCCTTCTCGCCTCAAGATTGATCCTCGACACACTCAGGAACTCTACTCAAAGGCATCAAAAACTATTCAATAAAGGCATCACGTCTGAACCAACGTGCTGTTTGTTATTCTTTCCTTCTTTTCTCTCTCTCTCTCTCTTCCTCTCTTTTCTTGTTGTTTGTTGATGAATTCGCTGATTTATTTTCTCAACTTATGTTTCCTTTTCTATTTTTTCTTCTCAGTCTGATTACATCCAATTCTCACTTCTTACTTCCACTCAAAGTCCTCATCTTAATTCTTCACTATTTCCATCCTCTCAGTGGTATGCTTTTTCTCTTGAGCTTTCTATTCTTGATTATGTTTCCTTATATTCTTGTTTTCTCATCCTTTTTGTGTTCAGTCTGGTTTTGGTTTTTAGCTCTCAATTCAATATTTTTTCACATGCCCTCTTCAATTGTTTTGATCTGCAAACTGATTTACACAACATAACTAACCAGAAATTTCTGCATCTTTCCAGTTGGACAGTGATCTGGTCACACCCAAAGCAAATATTGTCAAATATGATCTTGTTTGGCATTTCATCCACACCCACATGGGTGTTTTGGCTAAGCGCAAAATTGATGCATTTGAATCAATTTGTCTGTGGGAGGTCAGCCTGAGGCAGGAGGGGGCAGAAGTCATGGAAAACCTTTCTTCCCTTCCTATTTGCTTTTCAATCGCCATGGCAAAAAGAACAGCTGATGAACCCCAGACGCAGCATGATAATGATTGACAGCACCCACAACTCTGTTTACAATGGTATACTCCTTGGTGGTCGGTCTCTCAGCTTGTACACTGTAATGATTTGGGACCCGGTTGTTGGCAAGGGATTGCCTGTATGTTGGGCATTCACCGCTGAGGAGGCTGCGTAAATTGTTTCCTTCCACCACCGTCAAGCTCAGAACGCTAACACAAGCGCGGTAGTGTGCCAAATGTGTTTCAAGTATCAAAGTACATAGATTCTTGAATCATCTTTGATAAGGAGATTTATTATTGGTTTTATTATTGCATATGTGAATTCTACATCACATTTAACCTATAGTCAATCACTGGAACCACTAGGCTAGCTCAACTCAGTTAGAAGTTATTTAGATGTTAAGGTTATGATAGAACATGATTACAAAGCATAGTGGTACATTGGTAGTGCATAGTATAGATTTAGAGCTAGGTAAATGTTTAGGGCTAGAAACACAATCTAGCAATTTTTGAAAATTATCAGTTAGGGCTAGAACCCACAAGCCTAGCCAGTGTGTAATAGACAATATAAACAAGGCCTTTTTTGCTCCCTCTAAGTTCAGGTTCCTCATGGAATCCCCTGAATCAACATATAAGTCTCACTTGGAGATTTCAACGCCATTCATAGGGGTGATCTTGAACAAGTATCTCATCATCACACAGCCTGGCCAGCTGGTGATCATCATCATCAACCCCCCCCCCCTCCTTCTTCAACACCTGTGATCTTAATCAGGTTCTTAAATAGCTTGTCTCATAGCATTTCATATATATCAATTGATCTAGGTCTGATAAAGACTTTTAATACATAAAGGTTTCTCTATAAAGGTTTTTGGCACATCAATATATAAATTTTTGTTGTCAGAATTCTTGTTTATTATAATAGAGGGGCAGGGCCTTCAAACCACTCCGAACAATATATATCTAAATCAAACAAGCGCAATATCATATTTGTTATTTCCCCCTCACAGGACTGCCACCATTCCCAAAGGAGTTCTCACAGCACTTATTGCTTGTAGAGAGCCCATTGAGGCCATAATGAGATGGCTAAGGCACACAACCAGAATTGTCTCATCTGAGGTCATGAGTGATTGTGCCCTGGCAATCAAGAAAGGCATCACAGCTGCATATTGTGATTTAGGAACAACACAGGCTCCTAAAATCTATTGGTGCATCTTTCATTTATCCCAAATGTTGATGGGCATATACCTGGCTAATAATGGGTGATCAGTTATCTGGCTTACTGGGGCAGGATCTGATGGGGAACAAATGAACATGAAAAACAAGGCTCCTTATATACAAGATTCTGGGGAGTGGCCAGCTTGTGGGTGGAAGGGGGATGTAACAAAACAGAAGAGTGAAAAATACCAAACTGAAACAATGTGGCCCAATTGGTAGAGGCTGAGATGAATGGGGGAAATGACATCAGAGGCATGCAGGGATGAAATGTGCCACAACCAAAGGGGGAGGAAGAATATTCCAAAGAGATAAATGAACTAGCTAAATGTGTACTAGTGTGAGACATGCAAATAAACCAAGAGGAATAGTGTGAAACAGTGAAATGTGGCCCAAAGTGGAAATGAGACTAGAGCAAAAGTGGAATAGAATGAAACACATGCAAAGGCTAAGTGTGGAAGGCTGAATGGGGATTGATGATGTAAGACTGCATGAAATAATTAAGTAATAAAGGAATGTGATGGGAATCCAGTGTGTTTCTGTCCAAGTGGCTTGGTCTTGTGACATCCACGGTGTTGCAGGTTGGTTGAATATTCCAAAGGGGGCTTGTCTTGATCCTTGAGGGTATTGTTGTCCAGAGGGCTTATCATTGTGCTTGATGTTTTGATTTTGTGGGCCCTCTTATTCAAGATTGGCTTACC